ACATACACATACACATACACATACACATACACATACACATACACATATACATATACATATACATATACATTTTTCATGATATCAAGTGACGTCACAAGTATATGTATATGTGTATGTATATGTATATGTACATGTACATGTACATTCACATGGAGCTTTACTGCTACTAAAATTTATATTCATACCATCTTCCTGATTAATTCGAAGCTGGAAAGGTAAATTTTATAAGAAATCTTCAAGACACAGAAAATCTGCAGTTAGTAACTCGATTACCATATTGCAATGTTGCTATCATCTATCGGGAAAAAATTATTCTAATAATAATACCTATTATTTCAAACAATCACGAGAATCAACCACTAATTTCATGATTACTGGGATTTTTTGTTTTGTAATCATAGAAGATGCGTAGGTAATCATAGGTCATAAAACTAGAGCCTACAAGCTTTGTTATAATTTCTCGGTCAATGCAATGACATTGGGCAGAAATTTCTGAAAAGTATGCCGAGCTATTCAAAGTGTAAATTTTTGAACTCTATGTGAATGTCAAAAGGCACTATATTCGCCAATGACCACAACCGTACAAACGAGGGAATAATTGACAGGCAATTTTCAATTTAAATTGCTGGTTTGCATATTAAAGTAACGTTGATTATGGCCCGTGTATGCACGACCAACACACGGTTATATATTTCTATCGTATTGAAAACGCAAATAGGAAAACCCAAACGGCCAATCGCATAGCATAAAATATAGACACATATTTTGCTAAACAGTTTCAAAATTCCTAAAACAATGCTGTGATTTTAATCGGTTATTTAACTTTTTTATTTTAAATCTGATTTCAAAAGTAAATTGAAATAATCTCAGTACAGAGTAATTAAAAAACCGACCTCAAAAGTACGTGGAATTACATATAAACACCAAGTTTTATTTAAATCGGTTCCCGGAAAATACGCAAACCCGGATTCATCCCCTAGTTCGCCACTATTACGGGACTTGACACAGGAGATAATAAAAATCGGGTCGTAAATATTCAAAGTATATTGAGAGAAAAACGCCTTGAATTGGAGAATAACAAAATCAACCATTAAAATAATTGCTCCTTATAATAAAATTTAGGCGCTATTTATAAAAATGAATCTTCATGAAGCGCGTCAGACAACCACACTGTGATCCGGGCGCACTACAGCGAGTATCGCCAAGCGTTGTAGTTGAAAAACGCGACGCGACGCTTCGACTCTGCGCCAGTGTGTGTTGAGCCTAAGTTAGGTTTAAAAGAAAAAGCACTTTCCTCTCAAAATTACTTTCGAGGTTATGAAAATTCGAGCAAACGTTATTTCTGGAAAATGTCACTTCGGACTTCTGATAGCTAACCAAACAAATGGACTGTAGTCCATAGGTAAAATTATGTCATTTCAAAACGTCAGTTTTTACGCTGACCTCCCTGAGAAGAACGAGCAAGAAACTCTAGGGATTGCTCTTTTCAAATAAACTTAAATAATAATAATAATAATAATAATAATAATAATAATAATAACGCTCACACTCAACATAGCCCCGCACTAGGGAAACCCTGTGTCGCGGGTGCCATGGACACACACATAGACAACCACAAATTACACCCAAACTCACGAGAGAAATAAATGTAGGCCATACAAATATTTCTCCCGGCCCGGGAATCGAACCTGGGACCTCTGCGTGGCAGTCCGGCATGGTAACCGTTCGGCCACGGAGGCAGTTAAATGCTATGGAATAACATAAACGCTATGGAAAAGCGGTGAAGTAGTACAATCCACCCCAATAAACAGGATTCACCCTTGTACTTCTATAATTTGCAACTTGCAGAGGTGGAATATTTTCTTTAAATTTGAAACGGTCCACTACTGAGGTAGGTACTCCCTTTCGAACAAAAAAGAATCATCGAAATTGGTTCACAAAATGTCAGAGTAATGTTTTTTTCATTAATTTGTTTTAATTTCAAGTTTGTCCAATGGTTTGAGATTGATTTTGTTTTTTCTATGTTAATTTTAGTTGATATTTTTTTCTTTATTGAAGTTTAATTCAATCAATGTTAAACTTTTACAATTTTAAAATGTTCAACTTATTCTACTTTGTCAAAAAATCTAAAAAAGGCATATTGTTTAGTTCAGATTTTTCAATAATAATTGAGTAAGGCAGTAAGTACTAAGTCAATGTTAAATGATGTTAATTCAATTCTAATTCGTATTTATTTAAGTATAAACATTACTATTTTAGACTCTCTTAATTTAGAGAAAAAAGGTGTATTTATAGTATGTACGCAATGAATAAAAAAATGTGATTACGGTGCACATGTAATACAATAGTAAAAGAAAACACAATTTAATAATGTAACGAACTTGTCAAATGTGCCAATGACCCATGTATAGAGTACAATGAAGCACGTTGCCCTCGCTGATATTTTGCCATATCGCGTAATCGTTACGAACACACTGTCAAGCAAACCTATATTTAAAGCACAATTAATAAGGCGCAAATTTTAATAAAAATCCTGCATCGGGGTTTGAACATTTTTGTATCTGTCGGAATATCGATTATAAAAATTAAAGTAACGCGTACGTAGAAATGCGCGATTGACGTTTTGACACTAGCTAGTAGGCAGTAAGTTAATATACAGAAAAATAAGGCGGTATATTTAACATACAACTCTAGAGCGATATTTTTTTATTTCTTCGCTCTGGCCGGGCGCCCGCTACGACCACAGACGAACTGCTAATTCGCGTCACGACACAATATGCAGCACAATTTTGGATTTTATGTAATAAAGCTAATAGCCGGCTTTATTTCATTTATCATTTTTATAAGGTACATTTTCATAGATTCTTTGTTTTACCAGTAACGTGAAAGCTGATAAAAACTTTTTAAAATAAAAAACTCCGAGCTCATAAAAAATACTATTCTTTATATTAAATCTAAAATTCTTAAAGTTTCGAAAATATAATATGAATAAACTATATAACATTTTTATTCTAATTTTCTTTTTCTTCCGTAATTTACGTAATTGTCTACTTACAGCCCTTGTAACACTGTACTATTTTGTTGCAGGTCCAAGCAATAGTGGCGGCCACTGTTGTGTCAATGTTCGCGATAGTCGTGAATACGATAACGGATCGCACCTTCAACGGATCTTACGTGTTGCTTCTCATAGCCTGCGCCGTTTTCACTGCTACTACCACCTGTTTTGTACTGGGTGAGTAATATTAAGTCAGCTGCAGTGTTTGTATCATCGCATTCTGCATTGACCAACTCACGGGAAGATTTGAAGATCATATTGTTCCTTTTAGCACGTATAGACACAACTTACAATGCTGCGGGCAAAATGTATTTACCAACGAGTCAAGAGAGAGAATGTCATGTTGTATGTTACACATATAATTCATTTACATCAGAATTGAGAGTTCCATTAGTAAGAATGTACTTCTATAATTGTACTTGTATAACTACTCACTTAGCCTATGCTTTCTTATGTGAAGTACTCAGTGAACCATCTACATAATCATAATAATATTTTCAAATAAACCACATTAAGGCTGCGACTCCACCAGAGATGTGCGAGGTAGCTAGATGGTGTAGGAGGAAATAATTTACCAATACGATTACTTCCATTTTTGTAGCCTCGCTTAGCGCAACCAAAATAGGCTAACGGAGCTAAGTATTTGTACATACATACCAAATAGCGAGAGATGTGTGCGAGAGATGCGAGCGGGGAACTTGTGCGAGGTACGCGAGCGAGGAATGTGTGCGAGAGACGCGAGCGAGAAATGTGTACGAGAGATGTGTGCAAAACGGTATAGGGAACTAGAGTTACTATGCCGTCGCCTCCGCTCACAAGCGCACAGCTGAAATGAGTCTGCTACGCACCCTCGCACCGCCCAGCTACCTAGCACAGCTTTAGTCGAAACCATCACACCGTTTCACAGCGCCCTGCTATACATTCTCACACCGCCTAACTGCCTCTCACATCTCTGGTGGAACCGCAGCCTAAGAGTACTATTTTTAAGTACACATTAGTATCATAAATATTCAACACATCACTGAAGAAATAAATAAATACACAATTAAACATAGCATAAAAATATTGTTAGTAATCATGGAATATAATAAATAATGTTATTCGTGAAATGTATTACTAAGTATATTGTCTAGTTTTATGATAATTATATATGTATATTATCAAAGAAGAATACAAGACATTTATTCGCTGAAAAATGTAGTTAACAATGCAGGTCCTATAATATATTATATTAGATCGTATATTTCACCAAACTTGGCATGCGAATATTTTACACAATGCGTATTTCACTTTAGACGTAGCATGCATTAAAGTTAAATTAAAACAATAGCATAAACAAACTACAACAATAGAAATTTAACCAAAAAATAAGAAGTCGAAACTATAACATACAATAGTTAAATTTTACATTTTATGATATCAAGTAAAAAAATCATTAATATTGTAATAGCATTGAGTAACTAACAAATTATACAATTTCATTTTAAATTGTCTACAGTTTAATTCTTTAAAAGCATTCGGAAATTTATTAAATGATTTGGGTGCTAATATGAACTCGTTGTACTGTAAAATTCCAAATTAGGGCGTTGTTTGGGCCGTCAAAGAATAACAAGTTTAGAACCTTTTCTTATAATATATACAAAGCATGTAAAAAATTAACTGATGTAATAACATATCATATATTTAAGTCTTATTCGCTGTATTCGCACAGATTTCGTAATGGTGCTGGTGATCTACGGGTCGCATAAGTTCAAAGTAAACCCTGACAACGTGGCGACGCCGCTCGCGGCCTCCATCGGAGACATCGTCAGCAACACTGTGCTTGCTGTCACTGCGCAGTACATGTACGAGCAGATAAGTAAGTTTAGTAGCAGAAGAGCTCCTTGTGTAATAGTTCGTCCTGGGCAATACTGCCCGTCGGATCTATTTTTAATTTTAAACATTCACAAATATATGTCACCGGAGTTCGAACCGCTGATCTTTCAATTGAAAGCTACGGTTTTCCCGCTAATCTACTTGATAGCAACCGGCCCTTCTGTGTTACTACGGTTTTACTTTTCACTTCGTTTACGGTTTCATTTCGTTTTTTTAAAATAGCTGCTACGACATTTCGTCGCATTACTTTCTCAAACTCGTATCTTAAAGCACAAAGTTACTTAAATGCAAAATATGGATTGTGATAGATAGATAGATAGATAGATAGATAGATAAAACGTTTATTGTCTTGCATCACACACACAACAATATAATAGAGTAAATTGATTAAAAAAGCATAAAAACATAATACTAACCTAATTATCAACAGCTTGTGTGTGCTAAAGCAAGCCAAATAGGTCGTGGCTCAGTGCAAAATTTGCTCACGAGGAAGGCACTGATTTTCAGCCACCACCATCGAGGGTAGCGCGAGATCATTGACTTACAATTATATGGACGTCGGGTCCGCGCTAAAAAGTGTCCGAACTTATAGGGCTATTTAAAATCGTATACAGAGCGTCATTCACGCTTTAGTCTTCGTTTGTTCGACTGACAGCGAAGCAAGCAAAATTAGACAGTACTGTGATGACATTACAATTTAAATTCAACGTTTTAGCTTTTTCATATTCCTTTACATGTCATACGATTAAATAGGTTGACTTGGGACATTTTTTTCGTGGTTTTTGTATTAGAACCGTCGTCCATTTATTTATAAGTCAATGATTGTGATATACAAATTTTGCTAGCTGATTTCACATAACATTCCTTCATATACACATTAGCTTTAACCTATTCTTAAAGTAATGCATCCAAAGTGACACCCTTGGTATGAAATTTAAAAGAAATAGAAAGTTTTGCCATCTCCTGAAACTCTTTATAAGATACGAGTTGGAGAAAATAAGGCATCAATTTGATATTAAGGGTCGTATTCTAGAACTCTACTCAATGCTCAAGTCAGGATTGCAATTGAAACACGAGCACTGGAAACACGACCCTAATGGCAGGGACTTGAGTATGATTTCGAGTGCTTTAAACCATACTCAAATCCTGACTTGAGCATTGTGTAGAGTTCTAGAATACGACCCTAAGTCTCTAAAGGATCGTTTACGTTTAGGGGACAGTCGGCAAGCCATTACATTAAGCGAAGCCATTATTGGCGTCGTGTAAATATAGACAATCCATTATGGAGTGTCTCCAGACCAGTGATAAAGACAATCCACAATTTTTTCGGATTAATAATACCTTCCCCCACCACACGTGCATTGTATTGTCTCATGTAATGGCTTTATGTGTGTCCTGAGTAGTGATGGGATTCTACCCGGGTATATACCCCAAATAGGAAAATATCCGAGAACGTTCCCATTGAATCCACCCGATGGATATTTATTCGGTTATTTATGTTTTTATTGTTAACAACAAACAAACGTAAAGTCGATTATTTTTTTGGATTTAAAAGAATGCTTTTTGTTCATTGGTATATAACAACTTAACACTTATTAATTTGAAAGTCATAGAAATAAATTTACCCACCATTTGGAAACATTTCCGGTTAGATTCATAGAAAGTTTCCGAGACGCCCATCTCTAGTCCTGAGCCACCCCCCTAGTTTGCCTTACGGTTTAGTAAAGAAACGTATTGTCATACTGGCTGTAGTGTAGATGGACGTTGCGAATTTCGCACTTTTCACTAAACTGGCTTAATGGGTTGGTTTTCTGGAATGGTCCGTCAATTGACTCCGTGTAAATGAGCTATAATTGTTATTCCTTTCCACAGAAATATCACTATGGCAGCCAATAACCCTCATGTGCGTCTACTATAGCCTCTTACCGCTATGGGTGTTCGTGGTCTACAGAAACAAATACACCAAGAAGGTCCTCACGACTGGTTGGACTCCTGTCATTTCTGCGCTATTTATAAGCGGGTATGTATTTCACACGTATTGATGTTTCTTCTACTTACATTTTGTAGTATGATCAACACAAAAAAGATTTTCGACCTAATGGGACTTGAACCCACAACCGTTCACCGTAGTATCGCTCTTACCAACTGAGCGATGTGTTTTTGTTAAAGATCTTTGTACTGGATCTTTCGGCATTCTGAGCCGCTGGTGACATTTAGTGAAGTATTTTAAAACATTCTTCACTGCAGTCAGCACCTTTACAGGTACTTCAACTGACGAAGATGTCGCTTTTTGATCAAATGTATGTGTATTCGTGCATGGTCATGGGTTCAATTCCCATCGGGTTGAAAAAGTTTTTTCTATGTGTTCGATCTTTGTATTAATAATAAAATCTAGTGGAGTTACTGCACAAAAATTCTCAATAATACGTTTTGTAGTATCTTGTACGTAATGAAACCTATAAATTTTATCTACCGTCTTTCACCATTCCTCCTTTTGTAATGTCCATTATGTTGTACATTATATTGTGCTGTAATAATTTTCATTTTATTTAGGATCGGAGGCATCGTCCTGGATCAGGCAGTGGATCACTTCAGAGGCTACGAGGTGTTTCAGCCCATTGTCAATGGTATTGGAGGCAACTTGGTCTGTGTGCAGTCATCTAGGCTGGCCACCTATCTACATCAGACCGCTATTCCTGGAGTATTGCCTGATGGCACAAGGTTACTGGAATGGCCTTGGAAGACGCTGTTCTTTGGAAGTAAGTTTATGATGAACTTATACTATGTATTTTATTCCAATATAGATAGCGTATAATTCCATGCCTATTGTATATGCTTCTACTGCAACTAATCTTGGCTTGCTTTTAGATTGTAATTTGGTTTGGATTCCATAAGCCCAATCTCTTATTTTACCCCCCTTGCTCTATGCTGATTCCTGCTATTTGGATGCTCCTGAAGAGCTGCTAAATAACAATCTTTGTGCTTTGTAAATATGACCGAATTTCACATTTCCGCAGTCATTGGCTTCCCATCCGTTTCCGCAGGAATTTGCATATCGTGTCCATTCTTTATAATATTTTACATAACCCTGTGTCTCCCGGGTACCTGAAAGAGCGTTTCAGCTTTCTTAGGTCCCAGGATAAACCCTGTCGCTCTCTGGTTAGGTCCCAGTTATCTTTTCCATCATTCAATTCCGGTCTTTATTCTCAATCTTTTACTGTTCATGCGGTCAGGATTTGGAATGCAGTTCCTGTAATTACTGTTCACGAAAGTTAATCGCTAAAAGCTATTTTTAAAGTGAGAATTAAATAGCATTATTTATCTACTTTCCATCCATATCTTAGGTATTATAGAATAGAATACAATAGAATAAGTTTATTTGCCAGAATCCAGTATCTATACAGATCTTGAGTAAAATTAGGTACATTGTATTCAATCTGCACGCAGGTGTGCAAATGTTTATGGTGTTTCACATTTGTCTCTACAATTACAAATCAATTTGCATTTCCAATTAATATCAATTAGTATTTGTAACTACTAAATATTCTTTATTACTTTAAAACAATGTGTCAAAAGTCAATATATTATGAAATATGTATTTATCTAAGTAATTACGTAGTTTATAATAATAATTTAATATTATTATATTACTTTTTTTGTTTTGTTGTGCACGTAAGCCCGTTTTTTTAGTTATAGAGTCCTATATTTCGGTTTGCAGGAAGAAATTTCTGCTAGAAATAAGCAAAACCTTGCGATTTTCTGTATTTTTTTCCTTAAGTATTAAATAGATATATATGAGATAGATAATAACTTTATTCAATAATACAACACAAATGCAGATTAAACAGAAAAGAAAAAATAATTGTCATAGCAGTGAAGGAGCGCTGACTCAGCATATACCAAAGTTTCCTAAGACGCGGGTTTTCAGTCAGGACTACAGAACAATAAATACAGTAGAAGTTGTTAGCTAGCGTCCTACGCGTGCCAACTATAGCTCTCGAAAGACCAATTTGACCCCAGTCTGCCATTTTCGCTTTGTATGGTATGGTTGTGTAATTCTTTCTTGCAAATTGTGCTGTTTTGGAGTGCAAAATTGATATTCATAGGAAAGGAATCGGAATCGAACGTTTTAACTCGAATTTTCTGAATAGCTCGGAGAGTGCTTCGTTTCGACAACGATATCCAATCAAGCGATTCGGTTAAGATGTCGGAGAGTTCTGAATCGGGGTGCTGATGATAAATTTATTACTTTTTGTAAAAAGTCATGGAACAAAAGTTGTTTACGATGTCAGTAATATAGTCGTGCGAGGTTGCACATTGATAGCAGATTGCATATTGATATTGACATCGGTAGCATTTTACAAATAACCTTGTATATCAACGTCACGGTGTTTTGTTAATTTTCAGCTGCTGCAGCAAAAGTGGCCCGCATGCTGTTGATGCTTGCCGTCTCCGGTCAGATCGTGTTCATGATCGTAGCTGACGTTGTCTACCAAGGCTTCGTGACCATACAAGTACCATTTGGTATCACCTATGTCTGCTGTGCGTTACTGCAGGTAAAATTCTTTTTTATTCCACTATAGTTGGATTTTCGGATTTTTTAGTTACATTTCACTGCTGTTTATGCGACTTACTCAGATGATGATGTTTCAATCATTGACATTTATTAATTTAGATAGGTAAAGTATCAAGGTAAGGTAGCTGCCGGCCCTTGGCGTTCTCAGGCAATCTATTAATTTTTGTTAAAATTTTGTAAAAATAACGGGCAGCAGGGCCCCATGGGCCAAGGGTTTCGACTCCAAAGGGTGCAAATAGGTAATCGGAACCGGGTGGTTCTGGTGGTTCCGCCAACTCAGTTGCGGAACCATCCCTTCGTCTGTTTGTCTTTATAAAGAACAAAATGTGTTTTTACTTGTTGTAAATTAGATTTTGCCCTAAATGATTAAACTTCGTTTCAGGTTATGGTACTCCTGTATCTAGCTTACGTTCTTGTCCATTACATGTGGAAGAAAAAGAAGGATCCGGATAATGCGGCTATTCCATATCTGACGGCTCTCGGAGACCTTCTAGGATCTGTGTTCTTGGGCCTAGCATTCGTCATATTATCAATGTTCGGCCTCGAGTACGGGAACAACGTCCCCGACAGGAATTGATTCAATTGGTATTTATTTAGAAATAACAGAAAAATATTTGGTCCTAAACAGTAATCAAATCGCCGCGTTGCTTTGTTGTTCATTTTAAAGGAGAAATGATCGAACAATTTCAGAAATGAAATCTTAGAATTTTAGACTAATATTGCTATGTAAGAGAAAGGAAGCGTATTATTGTAACGGAATTGTACGTAGCGTAGTGATACAATGCGGCAGCTGCAGAAATTCCAGAAACTATACGAGAATTCTCCGAAAGACGCGCGGTATATTTTTTTGGCTCGTATCTAGTTGTGTTACTCAATTGACATAAAGTTTATTACAAAAACTCACGTCCATTCCATTCCGCACCTACGTAAATTGAGCATTATATTCTTGCGATTATAACAAATGCACACGGTCAAATTAGTCAAAAGATACAAATGAAATTGTAAAGAATTACAGTATTTAATTGCGGTGCCAAAGTTACTTTATTAAACTTTGTCACGCTTCCGTATTGAATATTATTGTAGGTACCAATTCTATGGTTTTTCAACTAATGATTTCGTGATTTACTGGACTTCTTATGGTGATATTATAATGTAGTTACTAGGGTAGTAAATCACTTGCCTAAATAGCTGAAAATTCTTGGTATCCTTGAAGTTTGAGCTAACAAACTGTGATATGTATCCAAAAATGTGATTTATGGCAATCGTGTATCATTTTAAAGTTTGACACCATATTTAATTGATGTCACTAGAGACAATAACTGTGTTTGGTGGGTTTTTTAACTACAATTGATGTAATGAGCAATAATGGATGTATATATCCTATTCTGTCTTTTATACTGTTCGCGCAATTCTTCTGGATTTTGTGAATATTTTATGTATCAATTACACTTATACTATTGTAATATTTTCCATATTTCTGTGTACAAAATACAGTTACCATTTTATCTGCATGATTAACCAAAAATTTTTTGTTTTCAAGCAATTAAACTGATTATTAGAAACGTGATCATTGGAAGTTAAGGTTTATGTCACTTGCTGCAAACAGGGTTCCCTGGTTTTGCATTCACAGTATTATTTAAGAAATTAAAAATAAATGTCCATATTTAACTGTACAGGCTGAACAGAACCTTATTATTTGTTTTATTGAATCTCTCTCTCTCTCTTTCTCCCTCTGATTTACTTTGATGAGCGAAAGAGAAGTACAAACTTTAGAGTTTTACGCATGTGAAAAATTATTCTAAAATGTAAGTGGCTTAACTGAACGCAATTATCAAACTGTAGATATTCTGTGTACATAAATTGTTTTTATTATAATAATAAGCGGGTTGTCCTGGAATATTGTCAATTCAATTTGAGTGGGTGTGATATCTGACCTCGTTTCTTAATTGAATATAATTCAATTCCACCGGTTTAAACCGGTAATGCCATTTTACCTTGCACTTTGGCAGCATTGTCTGATTTTCATAGAAGAGAGGTCGCCACTTGTATATAGATTGAAGATTACTTTTTAATACAAATGTTTTACACGACAACTATCATGTTTTTTACAATTCACAATACTATGGTCTTTTTATAGACAATATTGACATAACAATTTTAAATATTATACTGAAGTCTTATAAAAGTTGTAAAACTCTTATTTTATCAACTAAATAATTTTATTTATTAATTTCTAAATTTCTGTAATGAGGCGAGTGAAGGCTATGTCGCATGATGACAAACGCGTAGCTTCTACTTTAAAATAAAATTATCTAACTCACTCTCTAATGATTGTTACCGTTAAAACTACTATCTTTCTCAACCAGTGTAACAAGTATAAATAAGCCTTTTTCCAAATACCACATTCTGAATCGGGATATAATACCCTGTCCTACACTGGTGATAGAAATGGTGGAAGAAACGGAAAGAAAGCCTTCTGTCAAAAACATATCAGACTTGACATTTTAGAATTTGTGTCTTATCGAAAGCGTCATGAGATGAATTTAAATCTTAACTGTCAAGTTTGATGCACCTTTGGCCCTATATGTGTGTATGTGCTGTTATTAACGAAACGATCGTAAGCGGGAATTAGTAATAAACAAAATTAGACTAGAAAATGAGTACAATAAAGCAATTTTAGTATTAAGAATGCGAAGGCTTGTAGTAACTCGAAAGTTGAAAGTAATTTATTACAAATAATCCACGAACTAACATTAACTATAAAGTTACCACACTATAAAGATATACCCATAAAATGTCCTTTTTTATGGATATGACTGGTTATAGTTAGTAGGAAAAAATGAGAATTATTAACTATTATTGGAAATTAATTATAAGTAAAAAGTATTCGACGAAGCATTTATATTATATGTTGGGATCTCAAAATGAGTTTAACAAGAAAAATTACAATAAAACGGCCATTGTTTTGAACTGCCTCCATAATAATAGACCCTCGGTGTAATAAGGCAATATCTTAACACTTTTTGGGCGCCTTAATTAAAGTCAAATTCAAAAAATCGCTATTTCATAGGTAAGCAAATTACACTTAAAATCGTCATGCTGATTAAACTCTACTGCTCATTCGTAAGACAGATTCCCCTAAGAAGAATGAGCAAGTAACTCTAGGGGTTGCTCTTTGTAAATGTACATTTGAATACATTTATCATTACAATAGTTATAGTAGAGAATTCCTGGATGAGTTAAATGGGTCACTATCACGGATTTTTGTCATCCTAGTACGCAGAAATTGTTATAATCACCTTTAGTATAAAGTTTTTGTTTCACGATAGTTTTTAACCTCGTAAATGGCAAATTTTGAATATCAATCGGAATCTTATTACAGAAGCGTATACATTGCCCGTTAAATGAATTTGAGACTTTATGAAGATGACTGTCAAGCACAACAGCTAGTTTATTTTTATTCCTCGTATTTATGCTTATTTTTCAATAAAAAAAATTTCTTCTAGTTAAACGCTTGTAGAAGCGTTATACAAAAAATCATTCAATTTAAAGGTGGCCTTAAATGCTTAAATAGGAGAGTTATAAAATGTCACTTATACATAATTTGTTTCATGTTCGTATTGTTTTTATGACTTTCATATGCATCGAGTATATAACCAGAAATAGAGACGAAATGTCATTTAATTTGTTTGAAAATTATTCTGCCAAATCATTACGATGACAACTGCACTCCGATTGGCCAGCCCGAATTGGAAACAATTGACGGTTGTCGTCAATTGTTTCACTTCAAGTCAACCGGTTACGGACCGGAATATTTTTGGAATATACGGAGACGTACACACAGGTCAGTTGTTGGCGCTGTACTATTGCAGGTTTCTAATTTGTGATTTCAGCGCAAATGCGAGTTAATATTTAAAAGTGATATAAGACCCATTTGTCTGATGAGTTGTCAGGAATGGATGGCCCTTATTTCGTCTTTTTTTCTGGTTATATACTCGATGCTTTCATGTAACACTTTTGACGTATAATCGTAAGTGACTTTATTATACCAAGGGTACAATAGATTGTATTGGACGCATAGCCATGCAATAAGCTACATTTTTCGCAATAATAGAACAAAATTGAACTGTAAAAAAATGTTTTTAATTTTGACAAAATAACAAAAATGTAAGTTACACAATTAAGTCATGTACGCAGTTTTAGGGCAAAAATGCAGCCGATTTTAACGACAATTCATCCACACCTTTGACTCTTACTATAATAATAATAAATCGCAATTCCAATTATTGACAAAAAAAACTGTACCTTCTGCCGTTCGGAATAAAACTGTGTAGATGGCATAATTGCAACAAAAAATAAATCATAGCTAATTTTAGTTTTCCAGTGAATAGTCTGTATTAACTTGTCACAAATATTTATTCAAAATTTAAACCATGGGAAACGCTATGAGACGCTGTAAGTTAGTGTGACGGTCAATGTAGGGCCTGATAAATGCGAATTTGAGGTGTCTCGTGCCCAGTAGTATGGGTTTTTAATAAATTATGTACAGACGCACAAACAAAATTGAGATAAATTTGTTTTAACTTGTTGGTTTACGATAGCGATTAGCCCCTCATAACTGTAAAAGTAAAAATACTTATACTTAATTAATTCATTGGCAAGATCAGTGGCAACTTATTTTAACGTCCTACTGTTGGGCACGGATTGCCTTTAAGAATTGGGTTTAAGCCCCAATCCACCACGTTGGTTTAACGCACGTTGAAGACATCAAATTGTCTTCATTGAAACCTTCCCCCAAATGTTAAAGCAAGAAATAAAATTAGTTGTAAGGTGCCCAAGATTTACTACACAAGTAAAAGGAAGATTTTCTTCTTTTATCACAAAAATGTGACATGTATATTTTGTAAAGTAGACCTTAACTAGTTTATGAATGAATGATGTGATATACACGAGATTTTTAAACTTGTAAATATTGTTATATAGTATGTACGTAATTTCTAGCAGCAAAATAGCCTTATAGACTTAGATTTTTCTCTATTTTGTAAGTCTCGGAGTTACAAAATTGTTTTTGTAGTTCGAAAACTGTAAATTATAAGAATTATAAAAAAAAATACTATTATCATGTAGATTTCTGAACTGTAAAAGTAATTTTGTAACAAAATCCAGCTTTGTTGAGGCTGTAGGTAAAATTTGAATAGAAATATTTTTTGTTAATAATAATACCTCGCAAAAAGCAGCTGTATTGCCTATGTGTAAGTGCCATTTCAACCATTACAATAATGTTAACCGGTTTCTTTTTTTGTGTAATTGTATCTCGGAGCATGAAAGTCTTAGTGACAGTACTTTTCGTCGGAGATTTAAAAAATATTTAGAGGTCCAAAAGCAACTTTGCTCAGCTCCTAATGTACGAGTGATTTCGTAATGGTTACCTTCGTTGAAGTCAATCCAGGACGCTTATGATATCCGTTGTGATGAGGTTATCAAAACGGATATCATAAGCGTGGTTTTCTAAACCCGGCGACAGACATAAGCAATTGAATATAAATAAAATAAATAAATATTAGACATCATCACGTAACTAAAACACTCCATCTCGTTTTCCTCTCCTTATCCCACGCTAGGTGGGGTCGGCACAACGTGTATTTTTCTTCCACTCTCCCTATTAACTGCCTCCATGGCCGAGCGGTTACCATGCCGGCATGGTAGAGGTGTCAGGTTCGATTCCCGGGCCGGGAGAAATTGTTGTAAGGCCTACATTTATTTCTCTCGTGAGTTGAGTGTAATTTGTAGTTGTCTATATGTGTGTCCATGGCACCAGCGATACAGCATTTCCCTAGTGCGGGGCTATGTTGAGTGTTTGCGTTATTATTATTGTTATTATCAGCCGCCATTTCCATATTCACACCTTTCTTATTCATATCATCTTTCACACAATCCATCCATCTTTTCTTCTCATCGCCACTTTGAAAAAACAATGTTATTATAATATTAATGAATTCCTAAACGAAATCTGCTAACGTAGAGGTATTAGGGAGTCAACACACTTCTGAACGCGGAATGGTCTTGAGCTGATCAGAAAAACTTTATGTTTAAGCAATAAGAGCGAAAATGACGTTGCGCGTATATAATATCAAGCGACGTCGGCGCCTGGTAAGCGACACGCCTATCCATGGCAGTTACAGTGCCACTCAGAGATTTAAGTAGCAAAGATTCACTTAGAGCTCTAAGTAAACAACTAAAATGGACTTAAAGGTTATTCCGACCGGCTCAAGCTAATAAATAAGTGTAGTAACTTCCTTACTCTCTTCCTTTCTAATTTTAATATCTGAATATTTGCCACCAACATTCTTTAATGGTTGAAATATACTAGTTACTTAAAGAAATTTGAGACGTTCAAGTGTTTTATAAGTTATTTTGTATGATTGTATGTTGCATTGTGATGTCCCGTGAATTAGGTATAAATTGTAATTTTTATTTACAAATAAAAACAACATTAATCACAAATAAATTCTGTTGTTATTTTGAAACTACACGAGGCTAATATCGCAGCTTTGATTTAATAAAGTCACACCAAAAATATATAACTTTTCAGGAGACGTTTAAAGATTCTACGAACGAAATTAATCGATAACTTTAAGGCTCAACTCACACTGGCGCAGAGTCAAAGCGTCGCGACGCGTCATATTTTTCGCCTATAGCGTATTTATCTCTATTTTCCCATTATTAAGGTACAAATTTCTGTTGTGGAAATATGGAATCGAACGTCGACGCGCGTCGCCAGGCGGTGCAGTTGAGAAACAGGACGCGACGCGACGCTTCGACTCTGCGGCAGTGTGAGTTAAGCCTTATGCTTAAATATTACGACTGTTATAAACCACATATACATTTTTTTTCATATATTAGTTCGTATTATTTTTATGACTTTCATGTTTTAAAAACACTTTTGACGTATGATCATCATCATATCCAGACGCCGATCGGACGCGACGTGCATCCATTGGTTACACGCCGCCCTTACCAGGTCAACCGTCCATCTAGTAGAGGGCCGTCCCACTGAACGCCTTCCAGTTCATGGTCTCCATTCGAGTACCTTTGCTCCAAAGGCCCACTACCACTTCAACTTGCTAATCCTTTGAGCTATGTCGGTAAATTTCGTTCTTCTATGGATCGCCTCATTTCTGATTCGATCACATAGAGAAACGCCGAGCATTGCTCGCTCCATAGCTCGATGAGTGACTTCGAGTTTTTTCATGAAGCCCATAGTAAGTGAGCGCGTCTCAGAGCCGTTGGTCATTGCAACACGCACTGCTCAGTCTTTTGTCTTCAAGGACTGCTGTTGAGAAGAAATTCCGGAGTTTTCCGAAAGCCGTGTCGGATTCGACGATTGACCTCGTTCACGAAGTTGGCTCTGCCTAATTGGACGGTTTGCGAGGTAGACATACTCGTCAACGACTTCGAGACGACTAAGAGGTTCTCACTGTTAGTACGTACGATCACTTGTCGCTTTATTATACAGAGGGTACAACAAACGACACATGAAACCTACATTTACCGAATTGTCCTTAAAAGAAACCCGTGGCTAGAAGCGGGCCGTGGAAATGGGTTGACGAAGACAATTTTACTAAAGACGAATACGATAACGACGAAAGATTTTACTGAAGAAGGCTTCATTTGATCTCGTACATATAAGTACGAGATCAACCTTTCCTCACGCCTTCCCACATAAATACATTCACTCATCCACAATTAATAAAAAAAATTCGACAAAATTATCAAGCTATTTCATTACCCCATTACCCACCAATAACCTTTTACAAAAAGAAACTAAAATCGTGAACACTAATGCATTCTTATTCGTAAAATATTACATTCACGCTGAGCTTACATTTGTAAAGAAAAGACAATCGCATAAGTACAATATGAGCCGCAGAGCCAATAATCTAATTCAGCCCATGATCAGAACTGACTACGCCAAGAGGTCGATAAGTTTTGAGGGAATGCAAATGTTTACCAAACTACCCCCAAATGTAAACGATGCGGAGTCATTTATGTAGTTTATTTAAATTGTATAAACATATTGTTCACAACCATTCACAACTGAAATAAAGATTTAAATAATAATAATGTAAATTTGTAAACAGTTAATCTTTCTACTTGTGTTTATATCCAATAGTAGTATTTCATTATGTAGTTTGTACCACGGCTTGGATTGGAATATTGTTAATTTACTAATTAGTTTTTAAGGTCTCATGTAAGTGACGGCTGCAGGGTGAGCTCTCTCTAAAGCAGCGGAAGCTATAATGGTTTGAAAAGTTAGAGGGCGCCTTAAATGACCCGCACAAAATAGATTAATTTAAATAGTGGCAGTCATTTATATATTAGCTATTAGTAATTGGCAACTCTCTTCCGAAGTAGCAAGACTTTCCGCAGCGTGACTAGCAAACTCGGTAGAGAAAATACTTATGGAAAATTCCGCAGGATGGCGTTGACTGTCGTGAATTAAACAACTATGTTTTCTATTTTTAATACGGTAACCATAACATTAAATAACGGCAGTCATTTATACCTATCAGTAATTGGCAACTCACTTCCGAAGTAGCAAGGCTTTTCGCGGCATGACCAGCAAAATCAGCAGAGAAAATAATTCTGGAAAATTCCGTTAGATGGCGTTGACTGTCATGAAATAAACGACCTTTATGTTTTCTATTTTTAATGCGATAACCATAAAATTATACATATTTAATACTTACTAACAGCATTACAAGATGCTTATTAAATAATAAATAAATGTTACATACTCTATATTCCTTTACAGTGTTCCTGTAAATAAGAAAACAAATACAATTTCCAGTTTTCAAACTTTGACATCAATAATTAAAATTAGATTAGGAAAAATTCCCGAAGTTACCTAAATTTTTTTCCCATATGTTTTTCATTTTTGTACTACCAATTTACGAGTTAGCGGAGTACTCACCCCTGCGTCCCCCACATCACCCCTAACTCCTGTCGATACGAGCTCGTATCGCTATATTTTAATGTCAAATGTCACCGAAGTTCAGTACGGGCCGAGGCCGTGCGAGATTTCAACCTAATTCCAGTTTTCAATGCAATTGGCGCCACCTGTATAAAGATTTTTCCGACCACAATGAGGAATTGTTTTACATTATAATGGAACCTGCGTTGCTATATAAAAAGTGCATTTTACAGTGCACTTTTAAAGTTCTTTTTTGTATGTAAAAATCATTTATAATTCTTATTATAACGCCGACAAAAACCCTATCTCTTACATACCATAAGTATTTTCAATTCATCTAAAAAACATACAAAATATTTTCATATAGTTTCTGTTGATTTTACAAGGTTGGAGCTATTATATAAGAAAAAAGAGGATATTCTTTAAAGATAGGACTTGAGGCCATTATTCACCATAATGGCACTTACGTATACTTGTAATGTTAATGGAAATTCATGAAATATTTTCGGAAAAACGTATACAGTAATTTTAACTTTCGGACCGTTGGCAACGGAATCCTTGGCTGATGGATGTAGAGAAAGTCAGGTGAAACGTGGTTAGGAGTGGTCGTAGGCGAGAGGCGATCGCGGATGCGGATGGGGCTCGAATGCCGGCGGGCGGGCGGATCGTTAGCGGCGGGCGGCGGGTACCAGCAGCGCGGGTAGAGCGCGTGCGTGTTGCCGACGCCCGGCCGCCGGCGCTCAGTCGGCCGCGAGAGTCGGGCCCCGCCGATTGCCCAGACCACCGCCCCGCCTGTCTACCCACCACACCCGCCGTACTATTTTAAAAACCTCGAAGATACCGAGCATGCGCGCTATCGATCCGCCTTACTCGAAATGGTACCAGTATCTAGGTTAGCCGGCTAAAATTAAAGGTGCGTTCCGAATTCAAGGTTGCAACCGCCGCCGGCGCAGCTCCAAAATAGAGCTATCGTGCATGGAAAAATGGAAAAAATGTACTTTACGTTCGTAGTGAATAGGGGCGAAAATCGCGTGCGTTACACGCGGTAATGGCGGACGGGAGAATTATGTAAGAATTGTTCGTTATTGTTTCGGCAAAATAATTGATTTGGAGTGGCCCTTAGGTGTAAAGCTGCATGGTATCTGTAGTTGATCGTTTGGAAAGTTTGGTCGATAAGCGAGTGAGGGTGCCGGGCGCCCGCCTGCACGGGAGTGTCTGTGGATTGCGGTCAGTAAGTACGTAAAGAATGTGCTTCACGTCTCTAAGATAAATATAAACTGAGCTGTGTGCTGCACCAACACTCCCCGCAGCCTGAAGCACGGGACTTTAAGATACCTTGAATGGACTAGGTCCGCACTATGCCACATCGAAACCCTCGTGTCCCGTTGACAGAATCAAGACAACAAGTGACAATCGACTCTAAAGATTTCACTCGTTTACAACTGCAAGTTTTCGTCAACCAAGGTTCGATTTTCCCATGTTTTTAGGTCGGCAAGGTTGCGGTATACTTTATTGATCTTTCGATAAGTTGCTTAGGTTTTTTAGTAGTTCCCCACGCCTTGCCTTCATCAAATAACAATTAGTATCAACAACTTAACAATGTGTAACTAATCTATAGTTTAACTTGTCATTTCCAAAGGTTAAGTGCAATTTAATAGAAATTTCTGTGAAAACGCCGTCAATTCGTGCGGTACGATTATTTTCGGAGGCTAACCTAGAAAAAACAGTACGAATTCTTGCGGGTTTCCTTCGCTAGGTGCCGCCACAGCACACTATTGACTTTCCACGAGCTTTAGCATTTTCTTTCATTTTCTGTTTGTATAGGAGTGAACTAGTATAATACATAGGAAATAATCACAGCAAAATCGTGATTCATCCAACCTAGTTTGCCATGGAACTGTAAAGTTTGTTACACACTTTAGGGAACATTGAGGTTTTTCTTATTTTTCTTTTCTTATCTGTAATGTGTGCTAAATTCAAAATGCAGTAAATATTTCTTCTGTCCAAAAACTATAATAACAATAATAATAATAAATTCACAATAATTCAAAATTAATCCTTTAGGCCTTGGGAGAGGCGAGAGCTTAAAATAGATAATAATAATATAATAAGAGGGCGAAATAGGACCTTATTACACACCCACCACATACTGGTAGATACACACCATATTACATTTACTTGATTTCGGCCCGTAAGTGTGATTGAAACTAGCTAATTAGCTGATAAAAATTACGATCATATTAATAATAATAAAGCTGCTGCCTCTATCAATAATAATGAAGAGGATAAATAAGGATGCAATCTGGAATATATAAGGAAGGATCTATGTGGAGGATCCACATAGACACACGCCATACTGCATTTACTTGATACCAGCCAAAAGCTCAGGAAAATTAAATCAATAATAATAATGTGGTTCGATTCCCTGGCCCCTAAACTAAGAAAACTTGTACCTAAAAAAAACTTGTTGTTAGGTAACAATGATCCAGCGTAAATATAAATAATTTTTACTTACCGTACTTACCGAATTACAAGGAGCTAAAGATAAATAAAATAAAGAAAAAATAAACTATGAATAAATACCTTAAAACAATATGAAGCAACAAAGGTCCGTACAACTCTTCACGTTAATCCTCGTCACTAGCATTTTTTGCAGGCTTTCTGACCTTTGGGGGTGCATTATCATTCCGCTTCCAAATTACAAACATCACGCGTGTTTCTTAACGAGATACCTATGCACAATCTATGAACTCCACTTTATGCGATTCACAGTACCTCTTTCTTTTTCTCTACTCGAACCAATCTTCATAAATGCTCGTTTATTATAATTGTTTTGTGGTGGTAATTCAAAGGTGAACGGTTCGAATCTTTTAGTGGTAGCAGTAGAGCTCCTTGGGAAAGAATTCGTCCAGGGAAGTATCTTATTTATTTCTGCCGCCAAACGGTAATATGAGCATTACTGCGTTCCGGTTTTGAAGGGTAAGGGCGCTGGTGAAACTATGGGCACATGGGACTTGTCAACGTATGTCTCAGGGTGACAGACGCAGTTGCAGAGCCCCTCAGATCTTTGCGATTTAAAGCTCTGAGTGGCACTCCAACTGTTATGAATAGGCGTGTCGCTTACCACCAGGCGCACGACTTGCCCGTCCCGTCACTTAGTATCGTAAAAAAATAATCCCTGCGGGGTCATGTACCAATTTTAATTTCTAATTGAATAGCGAATATTTAAAACGAAAATATCGAAATGAAAACTGCACAACGAAAAAGGTTTACAAACCTGGGAATACATGTCTCTAAGTCACATTTTGGCATGGATGACGGACTATGGCCTAAACCTTCTCCTTAGAGGAGATCCGTGCTCAGCAGTGGGCCTCATTTTTTTCATTTATATATTAAGAAATGGGTACACTTAACAAGAAAAACTTACATCTAGAGTGCTAATGGTGTAACCAAGCATTTTTGGTTTGACTGTACACAGGCATTCATAATCTAGCCAAATAAAGTCAAAGTCAAAGATTATTTATTCCACAGGTAAAATAAAAAAAATTAAAAGTTATAAATGGATTAACGAAGAAGATTTTTGTTAAGAACACACTTGGATTCAGATATGTGTAAAGTCAACCTTTCCCCACGTTTCCACATGCAATCACATTCCCCCATCCACAATTAACAAATAAAGAAGGATGGCGAAGGCTGACCCAAAATCAACGAAGAGCCGTTCATGGACTTTTCTAGTACAATTTTACGTTCTAGTTTATGCCTAGTTATAAATATATTTTTGTATATTTTTAGAAATCGAGAATAAAGAAATTGTAAATCAATGTATTTTAGAATAGATGCAAGAACACAACGCAATTGATTCAGTTCGACCATAGATTATGTAACGTTCTTGTATATACGTTTCATTTTAAGAATGATTTTTGTGTTTACCTACCTAATGTAATGGTTATTTTATAGTACACCCATAAAACACTAAAGCTATATAATCAAATAATCAATTAAACAGTAATGGTATAAAGTTAAAAAAAAAACACAATGTGACAAAAATGTTTAGACAATATTTAAATGAGAGATAAGAAAGTTAGCAAAGGAACGTTTCGACAAGAAGCGTCTTGCTAATGTTCATGTCACTTTGAAATTGAGAACAGTGTGACCATTTGTGGCAGATTTCTGCATTTCATTTTTATTCATTTTCATTGCGGCAGAACATGTTAACGTTATATTAAATGTGGCAGAGTTTGGCAGATTCAGGAATATTCAGCAAGTTCTTTATTATTTTTGGGAACAAACTGAAACTTCTTGTTCTCTTTACTAAGGACAAACATCTGAATCGAAATACAGGACAATGTTATAAACATAACCTAAATCAACTTTATAACCCCAGCTTCTACAGGCTGTCTCAATTAGCTTTTCTGATGCTTTGATAATGAATCACAAGTATTGATAAGTCTCTTTAATGCACGTCGTAAATACTGGGTCTCAAAATACACGGGATGTCGCCATCCTTCTTTAAAACATCAAATAAATATTTGAACTAAATTTAACATTGATATCTAAACTTTTTTTATAAATCCATTAACATGATTTACGGAATAAATAAACTATATCATAAAATATGGAGTAAACTGAGTTTTTTGTGTATTCCTCAACTAATCGTTTGTGTATTGTTGTAATACAAGAAACGGAAGCAGTACATTAATCATGCAGATACATCGCTTCAGTTTTTTTTTTAATAATATCAAATGACGGAACGAACAAGTCGTGCGCCTGATGGTAAGCTACACACCTGTCCATAACAGTTGCAGTGCCACTCAGAGCTTTAATTCGCAAAGATCTGAGGGTCACACTAAGACATAAATTGACAAGTCCCATGTGCATGTAATTTCACCAGCACCCTTGCCATTCAAAACCGGAACGCAGTAATGCTAATCTACTGCTTGGCAGCAGAAATAGGTAAGGTGGCAATACTTCCCTGGACTCTCTCACAAGGAGCCATACTGCTATTAAATACGTACAGTCTTTTGTATGTACACACCACTATCGTCATCAACCCAATTATACGTCCCACAGCATGGCACAAGGCTCCTCTAAGTAGAAGGTTTAATCCATAGTCATGTCCACGTAGGTACAATTGTTGGCTGGGGAGTTCACACGTTTTCCGAGTGTTGTGAAGCATTTGCGACGTGCAGGTTTTATCATGATATTCACCGAGAAGCTCATGGTAGATTTCAAATTAAATTTTGCACATGTTTCGGAAATTCAGAGGTGCGATGCCCGGATTCGAACCCAAGCGCCACGGCTGTCTGCTTTAGAGGCAGTAGATAAAATTATCTAATACATCCTATACGAACCTGCTTACGTGAACGGGATGAACTATCTTTACAATGACTATTCTCGTGTTCTCTGCCTAATTTCCGTGACAATTATTATGTTTGAGTATACAAGTATATTATTGTGATACACACATGTATACTTGAACATTATAATTATATGTATTATAATTATATGTAATTTAATATTTATTTTATCTACACACATATCATAAACTCGCTATAATATGTTCCAAAACAGCAAATTACGATCAGCATAAAGATAAACTGTTTTGTTAGAACAAATTTCTTATCTGTGAAAATGTTATTATTGCTTCATAATAACATCGATTTCGATGTTTATTACATTCAAATTTCGAACATCTCTGAAAAACAAAACAATTTGATTGGGCCTCAATTCTAATATCAGTTGAGATGAAGTTTCATTCGAAATGAAATGTGAATAGCAAACAATTTTGACAATTTCACACGTTACTTGATATCGAATGATATGATAGTTGGAGCCGATTCTAGTTTGTCTATGAATTAAAAATAAAAACTACGGTTGTGTGTAGAGGCGGGGGTTTAAACGAAAAGCACTTAG